TGGAGGAGCCAGCGCACCAGTTGCACGGAGTGCCGTGCAGCAGACGTGGGGGCCAGGACCCAGGTGTCCCCCGTTCCTGTGGCACAGCGTCTGCGGCTCGCCCACTCCCCAAGCCAGGGGATCTTTCCCCGTACCCTGGGGCTTGCCTGCTCCCTGGGTGGGAGCTCCAGTCTGTGGCCAAGTCCCTTGCTGCCTCAGTTTATCCACCAGGGCCCCGAGCCCCTGGAACTGGCCCAGCAAGCACCTCCTTCTGCTGGGAGAGACTCCTGGTCCTTCCCAGCCAGAAGGCAGGTCGGCCAGGGTCGGGTGCTGGGGCTCGGGGCAAAGGGATGTCCAGTTAGCAGCCCTGCCTCTCAGCCCGGCTCACCACATCCGCGTGGGGGTCAGAGCATCAGGGACCGTTGGACCAAGGCTTGGGGCAGGAGGTGCAGATGATGCAACCGCCCCTCTCTCTGGGTGGCCGCCCTGCCCACTGCAGCCCACACGTGCACAGGGTGTCTCTCGCAGCTGTGGGCGCAGGACCCTACCACACCTTTAGCTCCTCGGACGAGCAGCAGCAAGAGGGAGGAGCATAGCCATCCTGTAGTCCCCGGGAGGGGTACCAGGCCCCGGGGGACAGTCTTGGGGTGACCAGGGCCCCTCACCATTGCATACAGAGCTGCCTGGAGCCCCTCCTCTTCCAGGCCCTAGCCCATCGTCTCTCTCTGAGGCCACCACCCTGGCTGGGCACCTGCTATGCTCCTGCCCCTCCCCCGATGGTGTCAGGCTCCACTGTTAGTTACCCAAGGGGCCCGGCTCACCCGTGGCAGGAGGAGGGCATCGGGGCAGGGGTGGCGGGGGCGGTGGTAGTTCTGGCTGCATGTTACCCAGGATGCACCTCTGCTTTCTCATTTGCACAGAGACTCCAGGGGAGTCACCTGGGGAAGGGTTACCCCGACCTCTACCTGTTAGAGGTGAGCAGATGGACAGGGGAGGCCCAGGCCCCGCCCTCCTCCCTCCACAGAGCTCTCACCCCCGGGGAGGGCCCAGCCAGCAGAAGCGGGTCCCCTTTCCCTTCCTGGCCGAGGAGCCTGGGCCTCAGAGGGGCCCGGGGCAAGGACTCTTTAGGCCTGGGCTTTTATTTCAGTTTGTCCCGCCACGTGATTTTAGAGCAGCTGGAGAGGCCCTGCCTGTGTGAGCTGGCTGGCCAGGGAGGGCAGGTCTCTGTCCTCGGTGGCAGGGGTTGCCCCAGGCTGGGGGGTCCCAAGTAGGGGCTGGAGGCCTCCAGGCTGCTTATCTCAGGCCTCGCGCTGAGGCTCGGCCCAGGCAGGTGGGACTGAGGACGGCTAGTGAGGGACACAGGAGCCTGGGGAGCCCTGGCCAGCGTGGCTTCATGGGTTGGGTGTCGTCCCATAGACTGAAAGGTCGCTGGTTCAATTTCCAGTCAGGGCACATGGCTGGGTTGTAGGCCAGGTCCCCATTGGGGGCAAGTGATCAACGTTTCTCTCCCTCTCTTTATCCCTCTCTTTCCCCTTCTAAAAATAAATGAAATCTTTAAAAAAATAAAAATAAAAGAGCCAGGGGCACGGAGGGCCGGGTGGGGTGGGGCGGGGTGGGGGGGACACAGGCCTGAGGGCTGAGCCTGTCTGAGTGAGGACAGGGACCTGATGCCGGGGCCAGGGTTGCAGCAAGGACGTCCAGGCCGGACGGCTCGGGGCCCTCAGGAGCCGGGTGAGGCAGGGCTCCGCAGCCCGGCTGGGTAGAGGCAGGGCGGTGTGGGGAGGCCCTCCTGCGTAGGCGGCTTTGTGGGCGACAGGACCCAGCCCTCTTCCGGAGGCACCCAGGGAGCCTGCCCACGTCGGCTGCCCCACCTGCCTGGTGCACCTCCAGGACCTAGGACGGAGGTTGAAGCAGCATGTCCGACACCTGCGGCCGACTCGGCCACCCCGCAACATGATCACTGACCCTCACGCCCCTGCCAGCAGCCGCCTGGGCCAGGAGGTCGATGGCCCAGCAAGCTGCCACCTTGCCAGTGTGCGCCCTAGGCCGCCAGGGGACAGCCAGCAGGGCCATGGCGGAGGCCTCGTGTCTGGGCCCCGGGCAGGCGCCTCCAGAAAAGCGCGAGGAACGCGGGCGGGGCGCGGCTCTCCTGGTGGCGTCCTGGCCTTCGCAGGAGCTCGGCCCCAAGCCTCCTACAGACGACAGCTCAGGCCTGTGGGTCCTGGGCTGCTGGGGCTCAGACAGCAAAGCCCCCTTGGCCCAGCCTCGTCACCTCAGCCCCAGACCTGACACCCTCTCGTCCTTTTCCTCCAGCCTTGTCAGCACAGGCTGGCGTTGGTGCCCCTCCCGACGGCACTGCCCTCCGGGGCCCGCTCCCTGAATCTGCTGGGCCAGCCCCTGCCACCGGGGGTGCAGCCTATCCTTCCGAGACAGTCGGGGACAACGACCCACGCCCCTCCCATGTGGGCAATGACGGGGCCCCTCGTTTCCGGAGCCTCTGTGTGGCCCTGGCCTGGAGTAGACCAGGGTGGGGATGGGTCCCTGACCCCTCAGGAAGTGCCCACAGAGAGGCGGCACCTGGGGGTGCCCTCGGTCGGTGGGTCCAGGAGAGGGCCAGGGGCGTGGACGCTCCTTGCCGGGCGGTCCCGGCCACCATTTTCCTTTGGCCGCTACAAAGATCTCCCCGTGACGCAGTCCAGGCCCACGCATAGATCAGCCTTATCCTCTCCCCTGTCATCCTCTCCTTCCCTTGGCCCACAGCGCCCGAGGGGGAGGAATAGCTGGTGACAGGCAGCGCCCTGCCTGGTGGCAGCCTTGGTTCGTTCAGCTGATGGTGGGCTTCCTGGGCGCTTGCCCTTGGCCAGGCCTGCGTGGGCGACCCCGGAGGGCAGGGAGCCCGGTCCCCCTCTAGGCAGCCTGTCAGCAGGGCACCAGCAGACAGGGATGGGGGCCTGGCGGCCAGTCCTGTGTGTTCGGGGAAGACAGCAACGTGCCCTGTGGGAGAGAGCATGGAGCCGGAAAGGGGACCGAGTGGGTGAGGCCTTGAAGCGTGAGTAGGAGTTTCCAGGATGCAAAATGGACAGAGGCCGGGGGGCGGCGGCACAGGGTGCCCGAGCAGCCACGGGCCCTGGACGCTGGGAGGCTGGCACGTGGAGGGCGGGCACCTACTCAGGGTGGGCCCTCCTCACGGCTGAGGGGCTCGGCTGTGATGAGTGCAGTGGGGGCCAGAGCAGAGCTTACGCAGGCGGGAGTGGGGGCTGCAGGAGCGGGGCTGGGGAGCCGGGGGTGGCGGCAGGGCAGGAGGAGCGGAAGGGGCCGACTTGAGTCGAAGGCCCCCCCGTACCCTTGGACAGGGGCCTGGTGTTGGGGGTGGGGGGCAGGTTGTGGAAGTCGTGCCGGCTCCTGATCTCCCCGCCCTGCGCCACAGCTCTGTGCCTCTGCTTCCAACTCCCAGACCAGGGCAGAGGGACCCCTCGAGGCTGCTGTGCACAAGGGCCCACCGACAGATTGGGGCTCAGCGGGAGACACCAGAATGCCTCCCACAGGACCCCGAGCGCCGAGAGGAGCCCCTCGGTGGGACAACTGCCGGGACACCTGCCCCACGTTCAGCTTTGGGGCTGATCGGGGAGGCCAGCAGCGAGGCCAATGGACGGGATGTAGGGTGGGAACCCAGCCTGATGTCCCTCTTTCTGGAAGCTTCCCTGACCCCCTCCATCTTCCCATAAATACCCTCACCCCCGTCTGCTCTGCTCCCACTGCCAAGGGCACATCTTTGCTGGGCTTCTGGGCTCAGCCTCCACTGTGCGCCGTGTCTGAGGTTCCGCGGGTCACAGGTCCCTGGCCAGCATGGAGTGGGGGCTTTGGGCCTTCAGGGTGGGCGGGCCCAGCACGCGTCCCTCCACGTTCCCCACCGCCCCCCTCCGGCCCACAGCAACGTCCCGTAATTAAGACATAAAGTCCACGATTTCCTCTGTGTGTTGGTGAACATGGGCCGGTTGCTAACACAATCCTTTCTTTTAATGGATTCCTGAATTTAAATGATAGGTAATTAAACATAATTAGCCACGTAGGCCATTCGGGGGTACGGACTATATGCGGGGGGTGGGGGGCAGCCGGCCAGAGTGTCACTACAAAGCCTTTTCTTTTGTGGGCGGATTCCTTGTTCCCTTCTGGGGCAGAGTTCACCTGATGGGCAGCAAACCTGGCCTGAGGGCCCTGTGAAGGCGCCCGAGGAGTGGAGTCTCGGGGCCCCATGCTCAGGGACTTGGGCAGTGAATCGGGCTGGGGGTGTTTCCTGGGAGAAGTTTTTTCCACTTTGAGCAGTGGACACAACACTGACTTCACTGTTGTGGAGAGAAAAGGGAACCAGACGGGAATGGGGGGAGGGGCACAGAGGAGGGAAGGGGTCGTGGGATGGTGTCAAGGGCGTCAGCACCTGGGCAAGCTCCGCCTGAAGCCCACCTGGCTGACCCCCTCCCCTGACAACACCGCATCACAGTCCCCCCTGCCCTGTGTCACCTGGAGGCAGCCAGAGCCCCTCCTCCATGAAGCCCCCATGCAGGGTCCCCTTGGTGCCGCAAGGACCCCACAGGCACCCGCATGTGTCGAGTGGTCTCACCCTCCGTCCCCAGCATCCGGCCAGGCCTCAGGGAATGCCTGGGGTTGCACAGATGACAGCCACCGGAGGTCCCAGAGCCCAGGCCCCCAGTCCCCCAGTCAGGGAGTGGCGCTGCCAGCCCTCCGCTAGGCGGGGGCAGCCTCGAGGGCACCGGCCAGATGGCACATGGGCCCCCCGGGGTTTGGGCAGGAGGGAGCTCAACCTCTCCAGGGCATGTTCCTTCTGCTGGTAGCCCGGACGGAGCAGGGGCCCTCGGTCACTCTCCCACGGCGCCCTGAGCAGGCTTCCAGTGGCAGGGGCGTGGGCAGGTCTCCAGGGGGAGGCGGCAGTCAGGGACGCGTGTCCTGAGTAGGGGTGGCTGGGACCCGGGTGTGGACCGACTGACCTCTGCCCCGCTCCCCAGGCCCAGCGACGAGCACCACCCGGAAGTGAAGGCCGACGGGTACGTGGACAACCTGGCGGAGGCCGTGGACCTGCTGCTGCAGCACGCGGACAAGTGACCTTCGGGAGGGTCCCCAGCCTCCTGCCACCCTGCCCCCGGGCCACCCAAGGATTCAGGCGCAGGAGAGTGCGGCAGCCAGACAGCTGAGGGCTGCCGGCCCTTCCCGTCTCCCTCCCGTGGTGACCCGGCCCCCCCGCAGGGCCGCCCAGACACCCCGCTCCCCGCCCACGCAGCCCTAGTGACGTCGGGGCGGGGCAGGCCCCAGAGCAGGTGCTCCGGGCATGTCCGGAGCCCCAACCCCACCGCTCTCGTGAGCGCCCGGTCTGCAGTGCTCCTGCAGGGGCCCAGGGGCGGTCGCCGGCTGACTCTTTACCAGACGTTCTTTGCCTCGCAGTGAGGAGCCCGGAGACAGCGGGCCTCCCGGGACAGCCTAGTGACCAGCCCTGCCCAGCCCCCACCCCCACCGGGACTCAGCACGACCGCTGAGCACCCCCCAACACACACACACACACACCCCCCGCCTGCCCACCCCTTTCCTGTCCCAAGTCATGTTTGGAGCTAAAAGCCGGGGCGGCCCCCAGGGGCACTTGGAAGACCACGGGCTACAAAGCGAGAAAGCTAACCCCTGGGGTCAAGGGCACAGGCGCAGAGGGTGCCTTCTGGAGCCAGAACTCGGTAGACTTGAGTGCACCGCGCCCACTGTACGCAGGAGGGACTGTTCAATAAACTGCCCTGACCTGCAGCCGGCTGGGGCGTTGACTGCCGAGGGCCGCGGGCTGGGAGGGGGGTAGGCGCACTCCTGCCGTGCGCGTGGACCATCGGCCAGCCTGGGGCCGGGGCCCCGAGCCGCCTTGCCTGCGCCGGCCCTTTCGTTTAACACGTGGGGAGACAGAGGCTCCGAGGGGACGGTGAGCGGCCCTAGGCCCCAAGGGGGCCAAGGTGGACCGGGTGAACGCCGGCCTTCCCTCCCGAGTAGCCCCGCGGCCGGCGGCCGGCAGCAGGCGGCCTCACGCTCCTGACCACTCGGAGCCTGGTTCAGGTCTCTAAAGCAGGCGTCAGCTGAACGGACAGCTGGGTCGGTGTATTTCCCCCCAGGGTCAGCCCGGTGGCCGGCGATCAATCTTGGGAGACAGTGTCTCATAAAAGCTGCCCCCGGTCCTCCGGGACAGGATTCCCGCTCAAGGAGAGCAGACAGTGTTAAACCGCTGGACCCCGCAACCCGAGCCCCCAGCATGGTGGGGACCCAGCAGGCAAGCCAAGAGTAGGAGCGACCCGTGGCAGTGATGTCTTTTTATCAAGATGGGGGGCCCCTGGGCTGGTGTCACTGGCCCATGAGGGACGAGGGGTGTTTGGCTTGTTAGCTGGAAAATACGCAAATCACCTGCTCTTTGCTGGAGCCCTAATCACAGCTCGTTGGGCAATTCAGGTGGGGCTTGGAGGGAGACTTGGTGCGGACGGGCCTCGGTGTTCTGTCCTGCCTGTTCTCTTCCCCTCTTCGTACCCGCTGTGTCCAGGCAGAGCACACGGGCCCCCTCCCCCAGATGCGGGTTCAGGGGACGCGGTCATGTCCCCTTTTACACAGAAGGAGACTGAGGTGCTGAGAGTGACCTGCCTGCGGGCCGAGTGCTGGTAAGGGCAGAGCGCAGGCCCCCATCCCGGTGTGGGCCGCGCCTGTGCCTTTTCTGGTCCCGCCTGCATTCCCGGAGGGGGATTCCAGTGGCCTCGGTGCCCCGGTGGCCGTGACTTCCCAGGCCTGCACTGGCGCCCTCCTCCTGGAGTCCAGGTGTTCTTGGGAGTTGAAATCTGGCCCTCAATTCGGGGGACAGTGTGTAACCCCTGAGCCTCAGCCACCTCATCCTTCCCTTAGCAGACAGCGCAGTTGGGGACCAGGCTATGCCAGGTGTCCTGTCACTTGGACAGTGACCCCTGCCCTGCTGCCACCCGGGTCCTTCCAGCCACCCGGCCTTGGCCTGCTGCAGACCTCCCACGCCCCTGAGCAGGGCACGCAGCCTTCTTGGGCTGCCGTGGACGGAGCCGCTGGCCGCGGGTGGGGCTGGAGTTCAGGGCTGAGCGGACGGTCTGGTCTCCAGTGCCAGGCGTGCGTCTGCCACCAGGCCCCGGAGGCTCCCGCACCCTCTCCCCACACCGATCAGGTCGGAAAGGTCCCTCAGAGGCGGGGGAAGGCCGAGGCCCTGCCCGCTCTCAGGCAGGTGGAGAGGGCCCCATGTGCTCACGGTCCCACCTCCCAGCCCAGCATGATTACCCGTAGTTGTGGCCTCCCCTCTCAAAATTGTCCCTGTTCAGCTAAACACATTAGGCACCTTCTGTTATCTGTTTTCTTACATTTTGATTTTCCTTTTAGATTATAAAAACAATAGGTATTACTATAGGAAATTCAACAGAAAAGCATAAAAAGAAATGCATTCACTCAAAATTAAGATTTGGGAGCATTTCTGTGAGGACGTGTTTCTAACACAGTCTGTGTTGCACTGCACGTCCGGTATGGTTACCAGGGTTGTTTTGCGCTCTTATTTAAGCCCCACAAGTGTTTTGACCTGTCTCCACGTGAGGAGCACGTGAGGGGCATGTGAGGGGCACGTGAGCAGCACGTGAGCGGCACGTGAGGAGCGCGTGAGGGGCGCATGAGCAGCGCGTGAGGAGCGCGTGAGGAGCGCGTGAGGAGCGTGTGAGGGGCACATGAGCAGCCGGCACGCTGCCCCGGGGCTCACAGGTGGGCCCGTGTCTGGTGCAGGTGTGAGCTGGCCCTGCGGGTGGAGCTGCGCAGGGGGCGGGGGGCCGAGTCCCAATGTCAGCAGATCTGGGGGCGCAGGGGGTGTGGCAGTGTCCAACCCCTGCCCTGGGGGGCCCCAGGGCAAGCAGCAGGAGGCCATTGCTGGGCAGGCGGAGCTTGGGAGCAGATGCTGCTCCCCGCGGGCTGAAGCCCAGCCAGAGACCTTGTCCGAGGAGGGCAAGCAAGGGACTCTGAGGGGCTGGAGGCCCATCCGGGGCCACGCTGCGTTTGCCCCTCAGAAGGGCCACTGTGCTGGGCAGACCCCCTGGCCTCTGCCGTGCCAGTCACAGGGGACGCGAGGCTGCGGCCCTGGCGCTCTCAGGCTGCCGGGGGGTGGGACAGGAGGTTCCCCTCACCCACAGCGCGCCAGCCACAGCGGCCTCCCTTCACCTGCCCCATGAACTAGGCGATCCCAGGCCACTTAGTCTGAAAAGGGAGCTGCTGCTACACGGGAAACAGTTGGAGTCCGACAGCCCCCGGGAGCACTCTGGGGGAGGGGCGCCCGCGGGCCCTGGCACACGTGCTCCAGGAAACCCTGTGGTCTGAGCACGCAGGCCCACGCTGGGGCACGGCACGCAGCAAGCCTCTCCTCCATGGCTGTCCTCGGGGCGGAAGCCGAGCTTGGTTGGCTGAGTCCCAGGTTTGGGGGCACTGTGTGCCCCGCGCCTCACTCAGTGCAGGGGTGAGCCGCCCTGTCCTGTGGGATATGGGCCCCAGCCTGTGCCTCTGTCGTCGGCAGGTGGCCCTGCGGGGCCCTAGGCCAGGCCTGGCAGCACTGTGACCTGCAGCCAGCCTCCTTGTGCCCACTGCGGCGCTGCTGAGGGCTGAGCTGATGCCCTCCTGGGGGCTCCGAAAGGCAGGTTCCTCCACAGCTCTGCCTTTTAGGGAGGCGGCGCCTCCCTGCTGCTGCCCTGCATGTCCTGGCTCCTGGCTGGAGCGAGGAGCCGAGCCTTCTGCCCCACATGCGCAGAGCCTTGGGCACCGGGCTCCCTGGACAGCACCTCTAGGGAGGACCACCCCCCCCCCCCAGCCATGGCCCTGACCAGCGCCCCCCTACCACGGTCACTCACACAGCCCCCTGCATTCCAGCCTCTTGGGAGCTTGGAGACGTGCGCTACTGCCATTTTACAGACCCAGCCCTGAGGTTCAGAGGGGACAGAGCAGGGGTGCGGTGGGGGGTTGGGCAGGCTCTGCCCCAGTCACAGGGAACCCACCGATTAGCCACGCCCAACAGAAACCACACAGACGGCTCCTGGTGGGTGGACATTACGCCAGGAAGCTTTATTTACACAGTAAAAGTAACAAGCGAATTCCTGAGACTAGAGCAGCTCTAGTGCAAGACAGCGTGGGCTACGCAGAGGGCGGGCTGCGCGGGGTGGGAGACCCAGCGCCTTGGGCACACAGGTTGCTCTGCCCGGGGCAGGGTCTGGCCTGGCCCCACACGCTCTGGTGCCACCCTTCCCAAAGGACGTCCTGTTTCGGGAAAGCGTGCTGTGGCCCCAGAAACAGCCCAGCGCCGTCACCTAGCGCCCAGGACATCCCCCACGCATGGGAAACACCATTTATTTGCCAATGAGACTATGCTAGAAGGTCAGACTACCCTACCTAAGCTACAGGGTCTCCGCTGCGGTCTGGGACTTTCCTTTCCTCTTTCCTTCTCTTTATAAAGAGGCACGGTTTTCCGGAGCTGGCACCAACGGGAAGGATTTGACCAACCGGGGGCTGCGGCAAGAGGTGGCCCGTGGCTTACACAGGGGCAGGGCGTCTGCCGGGCCGGGCCGCTCACACCCTTCGCAAAGCCTGGAGCGGTCACGGCTCAGGGGGCCGGCCCAAGGTCAGAGGGCGCGACTCCAGCCTCAGGAGCAGACGTGGAGGTGCGGGGCGTGGGGGCGCCATGCCCGAGCCAGGGCAGGGCCTCCCGAGGGTTTCGGTGCCATGGAAGCTGCTGAGACAGACAGTGCCCTGAAAGCCAGTGGGTGGGAGCCACCACCCCCGAGCCCTGCACGGGGAGACCCACGTGGGTGTTTGGTTTCGTTTTCTTTATCATGTGGGCTTTCGCTTTATTGATATTTTCTTTCAGCATACAAATTCACAAAACTCTCCTGCTACAAAAACTGCGATGAAAAGTAAGGCTTTCTGAGAAGGAAAATCTGTTCTATATGGTCAGAACGGGGTCCCCTGTGGCCTGCATGTCACGTGTACCTGTGGGCCCCGGGCTGGGTCCCGCCACCGCGAGTAAGGCAAGAGGGTTGCGGCAATGTAAACGGTGGGGCTCTGGCCGGAGCGCTCCTGGCCGGCCAGCAGAGGGATCCCCCGGGGGCCCAGTGGCCTCAGAGGACACTCCTTCGGGGCGAGTCGGGGCGCCACGTGACAGTGAGCCCCTCCTCCCTGCCCAGCTCTCCGGAGCCCCTGGTGGTGGGCGGGCTGGCACGGCCCTGTCTCCAGCTCTGACCGCCTCAGTGTCCCCTCAGAGGTGGGGGTGCACGGGCATCGGCCGCGAAAGGCAGGATCCTGACAAAAGTGAGGCTCCTGCAGGGCGAGCCACCAGCCAACCCACTACCCTTGGGGACCGTTCCCCGGGGTCCAAGGAGCCTCCTGGGTGAGCCTCCCTCCAGAGCTCCAAGGCCAGAAGGGGCCTCTCTGGGCAGAGTGGCAGCACCTTCTAGATGAAGTCTGTCCCCTCCAACCAAAGGGCAATGGTGAACCCCACTGCAGGCCACAGCCGACTCAGCTGCAGGGCCCTGGGCTGGTTGCGGCCCTCGGTGCTGCGGCCGCGGACACGGAGCGTGGCCCTGGGAGCAGGGTGGGCACGGCCGGGAGGGCCCGAGGCTGCAGAGGGTCATGCCCTGCCTTGGGCTGGGGTCCCCTCTGCCTGAAAGTGCCCTGGGGCTGGGCTTGCTGGTCGACAGGGAGGGTGGGTGTGGGACGGGGTCACTTGTGACAGCCGCCGCCATGTGCCTGCCCCCCTGCCCCCAGGGAACGGCGTCCGGGGGCTGCGCACCAGGCCCGTCCTGGCTCAGCCCCCGGGCCCTCACTGTGGTCACCTGCGGTGTGGATGAGGAGACGGGGCCCTGCCCTCCGCTCCTTCCATAGGAAGGGGTGCTTTAGAGGCCGTGGTCCCTCTGTGGCCACCCTGCTTGGTGTGGGCCAAACGCTGGTACTGCCCACCCCAGGTTTTTGGAGAACCTGAAGTGTTCTCCAAATTCCTACGCAGCCTGATATCCCCCAGCCACCCCCTGCCTCCTCTGGGTTACCCCTAAGAAGACGTGGCCTCCACAAGCCGCCAGGTGGGGGTTGGCCGAGGTGTCCTTGTCTGCCCAGAGCCCCCAGCTCTCTGGTGTGGCTCTCCACAGCCCTGAGCGGATGTGCCTTCAGGTGAGGCTGGTGGGTGCCCCCAGCCCTGCTCAGTGCCCACACACCCACCGGGCCCCCCAGCCAGGGGCTCCCACTGCACCTCCCAGGCCACTGACGGGGCTTTCTGCAAGCGTCTTACGGCTGGCATGTGAGAAAGGCACCCAGACACCAGAACCTGAGCCACCTCTTGATATAAAAAAGTGAAGGTTTAAGTAAAGCTTCCCACTAGAACGCCTCCCTAGGGAAGAGGAGGTGAGACCCTTTTGTAGTCAACCTGCAGAAGCAGGCGAGGCCTCGGCTAGGAACAGGTGCACAGAGTGGAGCAGCAGCCTCCTAAGTGCCCGCGTTGCGTGTTGGCAACCCCGGAGGGTGCCGCGCTGGTTTTTAGCCTTTTGGGAAAAGGAGCCCGTTGCTGGTCAGCTGACCCGGTTGCTACTGTCTGCAGAAGAGGCCGGGTTTGCTAAAAGCCCGGTTCCGAGAAAGCAGCCCCCATGGGGAGCGTCTGCAGCGGAGCTCACGGGAGCTGCCTGAGGGCGAGGGGCCGGCGAGCTCTGAGCCTGGCGCACAGCCTGCTCCCCGCGCTGAGCAGCGTTGGCAGGGGGCTGGTCCTGAGATGGACGGGGCACCCTGATGAAGCTGGCAGCCCCCCCACCAATGGGAACGGGCCTGGCGGGCCTGGACCCGGCCCCCCCACGTGGCCAGCAGACGTCTCGCCCTGGCTGTGCCCAGGGCCTGGGTCTGTGCACCCGCTCACAGCGCCTGCCCCCTGAGGAGGTTTTCCAGAGGTTGCCCTTTTATGGTGACAAGTCTCCACTCACCTGAATCAACTAAGCTCCTCACTCAGTGACAGGTCAGCACTGGGAGTGGCCCCGCCCGCCCTGCCCAAGCAGCCCCCCGCAGTGGCGGAGAGGCGGAGAGCCACGCACGGGCCGGGCTCTCCTCACACGGGAGAGGCGAGCGGGTCTGTCTCTTCAGCCAACAGAGCCGCCAGTGTCGGACGCAGATGGCCTCTAGCGAGCGCCCCAAGCTGTCCCCTGGGCCCCCGGGGTTCCCACGTGGAGGGCCACCCCGGCACCTCTGGGGCTCTTTCTCTCACACTTGGAATTAAGGCCAAATGGTTCTGGTGTTACTACAGGAGGAAGCGTCTCCCGAACCTTCCCAAGCCTGAAGCAGGGAGACCTGGGAGAAAAGGCACAGAGTAAAACTGAGTGAAAGAAACTGCGGGGCCGACTCCCCAAACGGAACCTGAGCAGGAGGCCGAGAAGGGCCTTGGCACCCCCAGATGGACCTGTGCCCCCCGACCGGCCACGCAGGGTCGGGACCCCCAGCCGGGGCCAGCGTGCCGCGTGGGGCCGGGAGGCCACCCAGTAGGGGGGCCTGGGATGCTTGTGGCTGACGTCCCACGAGGAGGAGAGGGAGAGACCGACACCAAGAAGCTGCTCCGGCGGCTACAGCAGTTCCATGGACCGGGGCAGCCGTGCCGGTGAGGGGCCGGGGCGCTCCATTCCACTGTGTGGCACGGCCAGGGCCTCAGCGGGCCGGATGGCCTCTCCGGCAGGTGGGTGGGCTCGCTCCCCAGGGCCCGACGGCTTCCAGGAAGCTTTTGTCAGGCCCAGGAGGGGGGCACCCCCCTTCAGGTGCCCCCCTAGTGCCCAGAGGGGTGCTGCGGATCCTCACGCACCCCACCCCTGACCGGGGGCCGTGGCCCCTCAGTTATTCTCTATCTGTTCAATATCCAACTCGCCGTCCAGGGAGCAGGGGCTGCTCTCAGCAGCCCCCCGGTCCCGCCAGGCCAGGGCTGGCTCCCCACGCTGGCCACAGCCCTCGTCTAGGGTGCAGCCGTCCGTCTCCTCACAGCTCAGCTCCTCCTTGCAGGCGAGGTGGTCGTCGAAGGACGGGGGTAGAGGCTCGGGGACCGGGGTCCCGGCAGGGGTCCTGCCCCCGGGGCCAGAGGCTGAGGCCGAGAGCAAGGCGGTCCAGGACCTGGTGCTGCCGATGGGAAGAGCGAAGGGGCCGTGCGGGCTGCCGTCCTCCATCCCGGAGCTCAGGCAGCTGAGGCTGCTGAAGGTCTGACAGTTCTGTGGGGGGACAGACACAGAGGTCACTAAGGGTCACGCTCCCTTCCCAGAACCCCTGGACTGTACGGTCCACCCAGCCAGGCCCAAGTCTCCAGGGCGAAGAGCCCACTGGGTGTTGGAAGACCACCTGTACCCTGGACTCCTCCACCACCTGGGCAGGGAGGCGGGGCCGCCAGCCACTCGCTCATGAAGAACTACCTTAGCCAACGAGGACCATGTTAATAAAGAAATGCAGAATTCAGCTGTCCACCTACAAAGGGTCAGAGAGCTGTGCCTACGGACGCCCAGTTATAGGAGGCCCGGTGGGGGGGCGGCGGGGGCAGGCCTCAGAGCCTCTGGGGCCACCTTTCTGCAGGGTGATCTGGCACAAAGGTGTCAGATTCCTTCAGGCACTTCTAGGATTTTTACCTGAAGGAGACCATTTAGGGTGCACGTAAAGATTCAGCGCCATGAACATTCCTGGCCACACTGTTCAATTGAGAAGAGAGGAACCCAAGCCCTCTACGACCACAGCTCCGGAGGCGTGCCGCTGCGGACAACGAGGGCTCTTGAGCCACTGCGAGAACATTCCGCCGTGAGGCCACTGACGCAAATGGAAACTCGCCAGGCTGTGCTGCTGCACAAAGGGGCATGATGCCCACCCCACCCACTCGCGGCAACCGGGGCAGGGGCAGGGGTGCCAGGAGCGCGGAGCTGATGTCGGCCTGGTGCACGGTGCAGCCATCCAGGGAGCTCGTTTCCACGGGAACCCAGGCCCCGCCTGCAGAGGCTGAGCTGCTGCTGGCTCTCCAGGGGGCGGGGGCTCCCTGACCTTCCAGGGGCACTCAGGTGGCAGATGCTGCAGGGCTCACCAGATCTGAGCGAGGCCTTGTGAGGCCCCCAGGGAGGCAGCGTGGCCTCTGAGCATGCCCCGCCTGCAGGGCTGGCTCAGGAGGGCCCTCAGCTCGGCGTAGAGCTCTGCTTTTGTCATCTTGAAATTCTGACGTTTTTGACGGGCCCTGCATTTCCACTTAGCGCTGGGCCCAGGACTTGCATGGCCAGCCTTGCACGTGAAGCTTATTATCTTTGCTCTCTGAGTTTAAAAAGATCCCCAGCTCCCATCTCTTTCACCCACTGCTGCCTCTATGTGGTGCTGGCCTGCGGAAGGAGGCACCCTGGGGCCTGCCTGAGCAGTGGGTGCGACTAGAGCACCATCCAAGGGTGCTCGGGCCCCCTGCCATGAAAGGGGGCAGCCTGGCATGGTGCGCAAGTGGGTTGAGTTGAACGCCTACTTTCACAGCAAAGCACAAAATCGGGACAGGGGGCTGCAGCAGCCAGCCCTGGAGTTAGATCCCCAACCAGACCAGGGGCGGTGCAGTGCCTCCCAGGGGACGAGGCAGAAGAGATGGGGGTCGGAGGGGGGTGGGCACAGAGGACGAGGGGGGGCCTGGAGCACCACACGCCTGCCGGTGCCCTGATCACAGGCCTGTCCTGAGGGCCCCCGGCCTTTCACGGCCTAGTGTCTGTATGCCACTCTGAAATAAAGAGAACCACCAGCTGCCACGGGAAGCAAGCTGCTGAAACAGGCTCGGAGAACGGAAAATAAAAGGTGCGCTCTCTGGAGGCAGGTGGCTGTGCCTGTCACGCACACGGCCGTGGTTCCTGAACTCGCCAGGAGAAGACTGTTCTGATGGCCTCGCTTCTGAGCAGGGAAGCCTGGGGCACTGGGTGGCGGGCCTCTGGGGAAAAGGAGGGAAGGGTTGGGCCACCGGTCAGGCCCCCGAGACCCCAGATGCCGGCCCAGGCCGAGGCGGGAGCCTGGGCTGCAGCCTCACCACACTGGGAACCCTGGCAGTCCCCCGACCTGGGCCGCAGTGGGGCTCAATGGCCCCCCACCACAGTCTGCAGAGTGCACACTCCCTCCCCAACATAGCAGGGTGCTGCTGACGCCTTTGCGTGCAAAACGAACAGTCCTAGGGGCGTGGAAGCCCCAGATGCCTGCGATGAGGTGGGGTCTCCGAGGCCCCTTCTGCCTCGCAGCCACTGTCCCTGCCGGCCAGGACAGAAGGAGAGCTGGGTCGGGCTCAGCCCGACAGGGGCCTCAGACCCCCCCCTCAGCCATGTGCCCGGCCCGGCTGGCCCGGCTGGCCCAGCTGCCCCACGCCAGGGCGGCTCAGAGCCCAGCTGAGGAGCCCACTTCTCTGCCCTGCAGAGTGGGGGCAGGCAGCCACATGACTCCTGTCATAAATAATACCATCCAGTGTTAAGCCCCAAACGCTGCGCAAAGACCATGGGCGATGCCAAGACGTGGACGTCCTTAGCCCGCGGGGACCCCCATGTCCGTCCGCCCCAGCCTGCGGAGCACCTGACCAGGGGTCCCTGTTTCCTGAGCCACAACGTGAAGTCGGTGGGAATCGCTGGTGCGAACAACAGAACAGGAAGTGCTCCCAGGCCCACATCCACCTTCCCTGGCGGCTCAGGTCGTCCTGCCTGACTGTATGGCAAATGCGATGGCCTCTGGGCACCGACTGCATCTAACGTTCGCCACGCTAGGGGCAAGACGCTGGGCAGCCGACCCGCTGGGACTCCCCGGAGAGGCGGTGTTGGCCTCGGGGGACCCCAGGGAGGGCTGAGGTCAGACAGGCAGTTCAACCTCTGGCTCCGCCTGGGCACAGGCATCACAGCTTCCAACAACACCCCCAGCCCCTAGCCCTGGGCCACCTGCTCTGGCCGTCTGAAATAACTGGCTCCTTGCTTTGCAGCTGAGTGAGAAGCTGGGCGGTTTGGTGGGTGAACGTCTTCATGAGCCCACCCCGGCACGCCACTGAACCCTGCCCCCTTAGAGTCCTCAAGACACCTGCTCCTTGGCTGCGGCGCCAGTGTCACCTTGAAAACGCTGTTGACTCCAAACTCAGCCACACTGAAAACCAAGACCCGCCTATGCCCGACAAATGCCCCAGGCGGTGGCACGCCCCTCCTGCGGGGGAGGACTGTGGCAGCCACAATGGGGCCCTGTGTGTCCTGCCAGACTCCGCCCCGGGAGAGCCCGCCCCGCACGGACATCCAGGGTGCACCCCACGCGCAGGCCCTGCGGCTGCCCGACGCCCACCCTCGCCCAGCCTTCCCGGGGAGCCCAGCTCCCACGGAGGGACGCCGCACAGGCCTGCTCGAGGCCCAGAGGCCTGCATGCTCTCAGAAATGTCTGGGGAAACCTGCAAAGCTGCAACAACTTCAAAGCACCAGGTGGGCGCATCATTCCAGGTGCTTCAGGACACACAGTCCCACGCCCTGAACACTATCCGGGGAAAGGGCCACCTGCCAGGTTGGACACAGGTGTACCCAGGTAATGAAGCTCAGACCATTCATGTGGCTGCAGGCCAGTGGCTGAAGACACTGGTCAGCACCCCAGTCCGAGTCTGGGGCGACTTAGGAATGGGGCCCCAGAAATCAGATCTTTCTGTCAGGACGGCCAGGCCTCAGCTGCAGCCAGCCAAGTGCCGGCCCGCCCCACCCGGGTCCTCCCCACACGGCCGTTCTGTGCTGATATTCGCTCCTATACTCTCCTCCGGGTAGGAGGCCCCGGGTGGGCGAGGAGAAAGAGACACCGTGGGGGGAGGGCACAGGGCAGCCCCCAGCCAGGGCCTGGCTCATAAGGGCTCTAGAGCTGCCCCGGGCTCCGGGGGTGGCCACATCCACAGGGCTCCTCCCCCTGCGGGCCTCCCCATGGGGTCCGGCGGAGGCCGTTCCCCGTTGGCCCACTTCCCTCAGCCCCTCTCGGGGCTCCCACTGTGGTGCTCTGGGAGCCTCCCTGCTCAGCCCAGAGCGCCTCCCCCCGCCCACCGGTCTCTGGCTCCGCTTCTAGGAACCAACGTTGCATGGGTGGTGGAAGCACTGTGCACACAGCTGCTCATCAGCACTGCGGTTCCTTCCGGCGCAGGAGCGCCAGGCCGGGTCAGAGGCTAGCCAGCCAGCCAGCCAGCAGGTCCCAGCTGTGGGAACCTGCCTGGCTCCCGTTTGCGGGGAGCCGCGGTTTCTGGGACACCGCTCACCACAGCCCTGGGACAGACGTGCCTCCCGGGGGCACGCGTGTGCTCCTCCGCCTCAGGCAGGAACAGTGCCGGGGCCCCGGGAGCCCCTCTGCCGGCACTGTCCTTCCAGGCCGGCACGCTGACCCGGCCCCTTTCCGCGCCACCTCCCTCACTTTAAATCTGACGTGCTGGGTCTCGTGTTACAGATTTTAGGGCTAAGGAGCCCAACCGACAGGTCAGGATGATCAGACCAGGTACGCAGCCCCCCGGCCGTGCTTCCCGGAGCCTGTGCCCCTCTGCTGGAACCTGCGGGCCAAGGGGAGGCATTTCCTCCCCCAGCAGACGCTTCCATGAGGCAGAATTCTCCAAGTATCAAGAAAACACCAGGCCATGAGAATGGCTAGCGGCCTGGAAATTTTCTAAGTCTCATTTATGCTGGAAGCTGGCACAGAGACAACCAAGTCTGCAAGGCATGTGGTTTCCTGGGGTTTTTTTGTTTTGGGTTTTTTTTTGTTTGTTTTTAAAACTATCTCAGAAAAGAGAAAAAAAGCACCAGAATATTTTTGGTCTATCTTTAATCTATCTTTGATAAATCCGAATTTCGCATGGAGGCTGGACTCTCCCACGGGAAGCCAGGGGGTCAGCGGGGGCTGCCCCCTCCCCCACAGCCACCCTGAGCAGAGCTGCCGGTGGGCCTGGTGCCCGGCAGGTGCCAGAGGTGACCTGACTGGGGCTGTTTCTGCGAAATGATCAACTTTTCTTCCCCTGAGAGGCAGCCGTTTGCTGGACTGCTTCCCTACCCTCAGGAGTAAGAGGAACAGCAGCCAGGCTGCTGAGGCCTGAAAATGGAAAGAAAGCTGCCTGGGGAGCCCTTGGGACCCAGGGAGCGCCCTGATCTGCTCATGGACCCTTAGGCTCTCCCAGGATCAGGGGTGTCAGGATCAAGCAGCCGGGGGCGGGGGGGGGGGCAGGAAATGCCTGTGGGGTGGGAGG